TGCTGCCCTCACTCCCCCCCCTGCTGCCCTCACTCCCGCCCCTGCTCCCGCCGGTGCCGCTCCCCGCCCGCGCGCGCCAAGGGCCGCGGTCCCGGCGCGGCTCGGAGCTTCTGCGGCCGTGCCCAGCCCTGGGCCCAGCCCTGGGCCGAGCCCCCCGCCCCGGGGCGGGAAGGGGAGCCGGGGGAGGGAACAGTGGCAGGAGGCGTTACCCAGCCCTGCCCGCCCCCGTGGCCGCGCACCGAGACAAGCGGCGGCACACGCCCGGTATAGCCCGGCCCGAGGCGCGGCCCCGCTCCCCGCCGAGGGCATCGCTCACCTCGGCCCCATCCGCTCCCGTGGCGCCCGCGACGTGGCCCGGCTGCTGCTGCGGCCTCCCCGGCTCCCCCCCTGCCCTCCGTCAGTGGGCTCTTCCCCGCCCCCGCTCCCCCCTCCGCAGCGCCGCGCGGGTGGTTCCGCCCAAAACAATCGCGGCTTCCAAGGAAACGGCGCGCGCGGCGCAGGCGCGCAGGGAGCGGGGCGGAGGCGGGGCGGGAGCGCGGGTCCCGGTGTCGCCTCACGCCTCCCGGTGTCGCCTCACGCCTCCCGGTGCTGCTTCCCGGCGTCGCCTCACGCCTCCCGGTGCCCTTCCCCGCCTCCCGGTGCCGCCTCCCGCCGCCCGGACGAGGCCCCGCCCGCCACGGCGGCCAAGCGTTGTTGGGGCAGCGCGTTTTGCACGGCGAAGTCTCGGCGCTTGGCTCAGCGGTGCCTCCTTCCGCGTTCCAGGGCTGCGGGTTTTCCGCCCGGGCGTCATGAGCTGCTGAGGAAAACCTGGCTGGAGACGTGAGGGTGGAATTGTTTTCCTCCCGTGCGTGATGAGAGGTGGTTACGAAAACCTTTTTGGAAACGTGAGATTGGAATTTAGAGGGGGGAGGGGGGTGGTGGAAAGACTGTGAAAAGATTAAAAACGGAAGCCCTCCCACGGATACCTTATGGTCTGTTGAAAGAAAAAAGTGTCAAAAGTACATATTATTTCTGAGAGTTCAGAGTGACAAGTTGCTTGCGGAAGAATAAAGTCTCTGGGTAATGTGCTYTGCTGGAGGCAGGAGGGCAAATGACGAATGTTTGGAATGGACACCAGCTTTCTGCAAAGGGCAGCACAAATTGATGTCCTCGAGCTGTGCAGATACTGGAGAAACTTTTATGTCTTGTCTGATTTTGTAGTTGATTTAAGCAGTGTTTGGGGGGRTTTCTTTCCCCTCTAATGGAGTTACCCAATAAACATTACACTGTCATGGAAAAACTGTATGTTCATTTCTTCTTTGTAAAAATTGATTAAAACTGTAGATGTCAAAGGTGTCTCGTGTATTAGAAGATTTGAGAAATTAATGCAAGACTTTGGATGAACATGGTCAGGTTTTGGTTTTTTTTCAGAAGTTTTGTAAAATTAACCTTCAGTTGACAGCAATTTGCACAAAGTGGAGGTGAGGAAACTCTTGTGATCCTGAGCTTGTGACAAAGTTCCCAAGCATTGTGGTCTTCAACTTCTGTCAATGAATTATACTGGCTTCCAAAAGAATGCACTTTCTGAAACTTTGCTTCCCTGTTCATTAAGTGTTAGTAGTGACGCACTCCTATCTCTTTTTGTACTTACTTGTCCTCTGCTTTCTCAAATGCTTACATACACTCAACTGATAGGTAGGGATATTTCTTTTTTCCTGAGTTACCTCAGTGTAACACAAACAGAAAACAGCTCCTCAGCATTTATTGTGCTTCCTTTTATCTTTAATGTATCTTCATTCTTTCATATCTTTGCCCTTGTCAGAACCCCAGACTCCATTACATGGTGGCCTTGAACAATCTGATCTCATGTTCAGATTGTTCTTGCCTTGAACAGGAGATTGGATCAGAGATCCAGGTGTTCCTTACTGTGTTGTATGGCTGTGACATTATTTGTCATGTTGATATTTGATGGATAATTAGATGACAGATCTTGTGCTAGCTTTTACAGTAACCAAGACACTCAAAATGGTCTCAGGGCAAGTCATAAGGTCAACATCCCAGTCAAAAGTCACACTTTCTGAACACTTCAACAGGGTTCAGAAAAGTTCCAAATTCTAGCCCCAACTTATAGCATAGAGAATATGACAAATTTGTATCCCCCTGGGATGTGTATTGGTGTCCACCACACAAA